CAGGCACGCGCGCGGCTCGCTGGCGCTCACGCGCGACTACGTGCTCGAGCTCGACGGCAAGTTCATACTTGCGCGCGAGGCGCACGTAGGCGCGGCCCTCTGCAACGGCGCGGTCATCGAGCCGATGTAGTTACTCACTCTCCGGCCTCTCATATAGGGTGGGGCGTGGAGAGAAGGGCGCCCCCCTCCCTGGAAGCGATGTCCGCCTGCTCATGCCGTGGGGCTCCTGCCCGTGTCCGGGTGTGGAGATGCGAGGGTCGCCCCCCCTTGCCCCACCACTTTGTGTGTGTGGAGAAATCTCGCTTAGCATAGGTGGCTCCCGTGGTGTATCTGAACTTAAGACGACATAAGGCCAATTCCGGGTAAACCCCGAGTATACCCGCACCGGTCCAGGTTTACCCGAAAAATACCTGCCACGCGTCCCACATCAATGTCACGCACGCCTACTCCCAGGCCAGTGCGCTACTTGCGCCGCGCGCCGCGCGCCTGCTCAAGAATGCGCACCGTACCATGTGCTGCCGCTATGCGTGCCTTAAAGGCGGCTGCGGCGGAGCGGCGAGCGCGGCTTGCCGATGGTGCTAGCGATGGTGGTGCGGACGGTGTGGTGATGTGCCGACGTTCGATCCTGCTTCAAGATCGAGGCGGTGGCATTGTTCGATGAAAAAAAGTCGTTGATTGAGACGGACAGGTAACTTTGCGCTGCTTGTGGTCCGTGTGGGCCCAGACTGACAAAGACGAAGTCGAAGCAGATCGAAGTGCGCAGTGCTGACGTGTCATCCCCCTTCATACTTTACAGCGACTCGCGCACTTCGCCGGAGCGCCCCGCGGGTACGGGTGTTTGCACTGCCTCCCCGGCGTCGCGGTTGGGGGGTTGCGCTGAATTGGGGTGTGATGGGGTGTCGCTGTCTCGTCGGTGGGGTGCGTGTCATCGCTCATCGGGGTCGTTTCGTGCATGTGTTGCAAAGGTGGTGTGTTAGAGGCTTTTTTATCTCAGGGCCCGCTGAGCGTCTGGGGGGCTGACACCACTCGAAAAAGACACGACAAAAGCAGCCCTTCCGACAGACATACAGGGGCATGAATGTACACCGCGAGAGCACCGTGAACCTGACATGTGCATGTGACAACCTCAAGAGTCAAGTGCGCTCAAAAACCCGACACACACGGCAAGCACCGCGCCAGGGCTCGCTCGACGCTCTCGCCCCCCCAAAACAAGGGGCGAGGCGGCGAGGGCACGCGTGCAGCGCCTCTCACTCCTGGGACATCCACAGTGCTCTCGGCAGATCAACTACATCTACCGTCACAGTGACGGAGGTGCTCATGCCCTCATGGCATGCCATGCGCTCTCGGCTGGAGTCAACGATGACCCGCGGCACCTCCTATTCGGCCCCACTCAGCAGCAGGCCTCGGCGTGCCAGCCGACCTGCGAGAGCGCGCGTCCGACTCGCGCGTTGAAGACGCGCCAGAAGGCCGCCTCGGCGCTCAACTCCTCGGCCGTCGGTGACGGTGGCGGCAGCCGCAGCGGTGGGAGGGTGATCGGGTTCAGCGTCCGGCCGATGCGAAACACCACAGACTCCTCGCGCCCGCAGGGGAGGGCGATGAGGCCCTTGAGCGCCTCGTCCGTCTCGTCCCGCAGCACCACCAGCCGCGGTCCGGCAGAGCCCGCCGTCTGGTTGACGACGCGGTGCGGCGGCCACGAGCCTTGCTGCGACACTCGCCCAGACTTGTCCACGTTCCACACGCCGCCGGTGCGAATATTGACGGGGGGGGGCTCGGCGCTCACGACGACGCGCACGCGGGAGGCCGGGATGGTGACGCCATCTTTCTGGCACGCAGCGCAGAAGTGGTGGCGGAAGGCGGACGAGGCCTGCTCGGCAGGCGCGTGTGCACCGCAACCGCCGAGGAGCTGGCCCCAGCAGGTGGCGCTCGGCTGCTTGCGCTTGCGAGAGACCGTCGCCGGCGCAGTCTCGCAGTCCTCCTCCTCCTCCTCCACGCCGGCCCCCAAGCCGTCGGAGGGGGACGCTTCGAGCAGCGATGTCGTAGCTTGGGGCGAGTGCCCTGACTCGCGCTGCCAGTCGCCGCCGCCCACCCACTCCTCGAGCCACGCCGCCGACACTGTCTCGCCTCCCTCCATTCGGCAGCGGCGCCGCGAAACGCCGCCGGCCGCCGAGGAGTCGCCAGTCAAGGGGGGGGATGTGGCGCGCCTTTTCGTGTCGCATTTCTGCATCAATTTCTGCATCCCTTCGAGCTGGAGACGGGGGAACAGGTGTGTGTGTTTGTGGTTCTCTCTCGAGGTAGGTTCTCGAGGTGGTCCACGCAGGCGTGGTTTCTGACGGCCGACCGTCAGTGCACGGAGTTGCCCCTTCTCCGACTGCCCCGGCTAGTTCACGAGTTTCGCGGGAGTGACCCCACCCATGCATGCGTCAAACCCGAGACCTAGCGCGGGTGGGTTCGAGGGGGGCTCGCTGCAGGGAAGGGCTGTGAAGCCGATCCCCGTAGTCCGCCCCGCTCCTCCCCATCGGGCCGCATGAGCGGCCACGCCTCGCAGATTCGTTTTCGCGCCTGGGTCAGGCGCGCGGGGCATCCCCCGGGTCGCTCGACCAGCGATCCGAAGAGTGGCAGCCGCTATGCGAAGGAAAGAGCGGGGCCCTCGGGGTACGCCTCCGTCCGGCCCCCTCCGAGGGGGGAAGGGAATTGCGGGGTCCCCACGGGCGCCTCTCTTCGGCCCTCCCGAGGGGGGGAGAGGGGAGCAAGGGGGTGGGGGGATCGGGGCGGGGGGAGGGGTCTCGGTTTCGTGAGGCTAATACTTGCCTTTCGGGGAGGGTATGGGCAGGGATCGCTATCGAGGAGTGGTCTTCCCCCACGGCCCCCGCCCTTGCTTCCCCTCCTCCCTCGCGGCAGCGAGACAGTAGGCAGCGAGAGGAGGTCTCGAGCGCCTACTGGGCTGGGTTTTTAGGCATTGTGGGGTTGGCACTCCCATCGACCCTCATGACCTCCACTGCGGTCTCTGAGATGGACACCAGTGGGTGTGGGACCACAGCCAGGATACACTCGAAGGCTGGGTAAGCAGTAGAGGTCGATACTCGGCGCGTCCCACATGGTCTGTGTCGCTGTCGGCACGCTGTCGACAGGACGTCGAGCGACACCGGTGGCAGTGCCACCCAGGAGTGGTCGGGCGGTCTCCTGTCATGAGAGAGCCACCATGTGATCCGTATGATGATTCCTGACAACCGCCTCAGTCAACTTTCGTCACAGTTCCCGCTCTGAGAGGAGCTGCGGGTCAGTTCGACAGCTGGAGCTGTGTCGCCGGCGTGCGGCGGCCTGCCTCCGGAGGTGCCTCTGAGGTGGACATTTTTTGGTCACCGTGAGAGAACGCGTTTGAATTTTCACTCCGGAACTTCAACTCCGCACGCGCACCGGCCAGGGCTACAATAGTGCCAGTGAGGCGAAGGCGCGAGTCGGAAGGCCGCGACCGTGATTTGGTCCCTCAATTTACCTACAATCGCTGTGAACCCAGCCACGTATATGAAGGTATGTGTGAGATGGTGATGGGAATGGGTGGTCGGGCGGGCGGGCGGGCGGGTGGGCGGGCGGGCGGGCGGGCGGGCGGGCGGGCAAGCGGGGAGAGGGGCGGGCGGGCGGGGCGGGGCGGGCGGGCGGGGTGATCGGAGAAATCGTATCCACAATCAGCAGTTCAGCAGCCGCACCAGCTCAGCAGTGCAGCTGCTGCTGCAGCAGCAAGTGTCCTGCGCGTGTCTGGGTGTATAGAGTGTGATATTGTTACTGACGTACTGCTTACTCGATTGAACATTGATGTGAGGCTGAGAGGCGGAGACGGTGACCGTCTCCCATCTCGTCGGGAAGTGCTGTGAAGTGTGATGAGCGTCGCAGGGCCCTAGGAAAAGTGTACGACTCCCTGCCTATAACGGGGGACTGAGCCCCCTCACGGTACCGCGGCGCCGGAGACCCGCACGCCGCGTCACACGGGAGATGGAAGGCACAGATGGTACAAGCGCACGCGAGGCGCCTCACATAGGCTGGTCAGGGGATGGCGGGGCGATGGGGTACGGGCTCGGCGGCGGCGGCTCCGCGCCGCCAGGCAACGGCTCCGCGAGCGGCGGCCCCTCCTCCGCCACCGGCAGCGCGCAGTTGGCCCAGAACCCGGCGGGTGACTCGCGGCGCATCAGCTCCTCCATCCCTCCTCGCACCACCTTGACGGCGCCCTCCACCCGCTCCACCTTCGAGACGAGCCGCTGCAGCATCGCGCTGTCCGCCACCTGCACCGTGAACTGGAACGCCGCCTCGCCGCCCGGCGTGAGCGTCTCCGAGTGCACGTCGATGATGTTGAGCGCCTCGCGCGTCACCACCATCGACACGTCGAGCAGGATGCCGCGCCGGTCGCGCACAAAGACAACCACCGCCGTCAGGAAGCCGGCCAGCCCGCCCCCCGCGTCGCACGGCGCCATGTACCTCCGCAGCAGCGGCTGCGCGCGCGCGCCCGAGACGAGCGTGTGGCCGCCGACGGCGAGCTGCCGCTGCAGCGCGCGGCAGCCCGCGCCGGCGCGGTGCACGATGCCCGCGCCGCACGAGAGGTCAAACGCGGATCCCGCGAGCTCGTCGCCCAGCACCGGCTGGCACTGCTCGCACAGCCGCCACCCCGACGTCTCTGCCGACGCGAGCCGCTGCATCATCGGCAGCAGGTGCCCGTCCGACCGCCTGTGGACATGTCTCGGACGTGTCCTGGACGTGTCCTGGACGTGTCAGCAGCAAGTGCCCGTCCGACCGCCTCATCGCCGGCCGCGGAGACGCGGCGGGCGCGGTGGCAGGCGCGGGCGCGGCGGCGGCGGGCGCGGCGGCAGGGGCGGCGGCGGCGGAGAGGGGCGCCGTCGCGGCGGCGGGCCGCTGCAGCGGCGAGGCGGCGCGGCGCTGGCCATAGTGGACGAGCGGCTCCCGCCGCTCGAGCGAGACGATGTCGCCGTTCTGCAGGACCGTCGAGGGCGCCGCCGGCATGCCGTTGACGAGCCCACCGTGCGAGTCGAGGTTTGGCGCGCGGAGCAGGCAGGCGGCGTCGAGCAGCGTGGCGCCGCGCGCGAGGTTGAGGATGCGCCTAGTCACAGCGTGTGCGAGGTTGCGCGAGGTTGCGCGAGGTTGCGCGAGGTTGCGCGAGGTTGCGCGAGGTTTGAGGATGCGCCCGTTCCGCGTGAAGACGAAGACGCGGGTGCCGAGCAGCTCCTCGCGCACCTGGGCGGAGGCGGTCGCGGAGGCGGTCGCGGAGGCGGTCGCGGAGGCGGTCGCGGAGGCGGAGCTGGGGTGCAGCCGAGGCGGAGCCGAGGCGGTGCCGAGGCGGAGCCGAGGTGCAGCCGAGGTGAGGTGCAGTGGAGCCGAGGTGCAGTGGAGGCGGGCCGAGGTGGGGGGTGGCTGGTCCGCGCGCACCAGCCGGACAAAGTCGTGGGCGCTCTCGACCTGGTCGTTCCACTGGCGGATGATCTGGAGCCAAGGGAGGGAGGAGTCGCCGCGGGGCATCTCCTACCATCCGAGATCACACGAGATCACACGAGATCACACGAGATCACACGAGTCGCCGCCGGGCATCTCCTTGTACAGCCAGTGCGCCGCCGCGCCGTGCTCCGCTACGTTGTGCATCTCGAGCGTGCGGATCTGGACCTGTGAGATCAGGGGAGATATGGGGAGATATGGGGAGATATGCGGATCTGGACCTGTGAGATCGTGGTGGAGATATGGGGAGATATGGGGAGATCGCGGATCTGGACCTGTGAGATCGTGGTGGAGATATGGGGAGATATGGGGAGATCGCGGATCTGGACCTGTGAGATCGTGGTGGAGATATGGGGAGATATGGGGAGATCGCGGATCTGGACCTGTGAGATCGTGGTGGAGATATGGGGAGATATGGGGAGATCGCGGATCTGGACCTGTGAGATCGTGGTGGAGAGAGAGCTGAGAGAGTGAGATCTGGACCGGTGAGATCGTAGAGTCAAAGTGGAGAGAGTGGGATGTAGTGGAGACATAGCTGAGCTCCAGCAGAGCGCGAGGAGAAGCTGCGCCCAGAGATGCAGGTGCAGCAGAGGTGTAGCGGATGGCAGAGAGAGCGGAGAGACGGCGGCGCCTCGCCTCCAGTGGCTGAGTGCCCACCAGCACCGTCGTGTGCAGCGAGCGGTACCTGAGATATCGGGAGATATGGGGAGATATGGGGAGATATGGGGAGATATGGGGAGATATGGGGAGATATGGGGAGATATGGGGAGATATGCGGTACCCGTTTGGCTTCGGCGAAGAGATGTAGTCCTTGAGCGTTCGCGGCAGCGGCGTCCAGCAGCCGTGCACCTTGCCAAGCACGTGGTAACACAGAGCTCGGTCCTCCGCCTCGCCCGCCGCCCGGGGACCCGCCGCGCTAGCGGGAGGCGGAGACAGCACGCCGCGCGGCTCGATCGCGGGCGGCGCGGCGGCGGGCGCGGCGCCCCGTGTGGCGGGGACCTGCGCCGCCTGCGCCGCCTGCGCCGCCTGCGCCACCTGCGCCGCCTGCTGCGCCGCCTGCGCCGCCTGCTGCGCCGCCTGCTGCGCCGCCTGCGCCGCCTGCGCCGCCTGCGCCTCCAGCACCTCCGCCTGCAGGAAGTGCGCTTGGGCGTGGCCCCTCGCCGGCGGCATCCACGTCACCGTCGACCCCGCCGCGGGCGGCGGCGTCGGCGTCGGCGTCGGCGGCAGCTCGCGAACCTCCTCGCAGAGGACGACGCGGAGCGCGACGAGGTCATGCACGCGCTCGATCTCGCAGCCGTGGCGCTGCATCTTCTTCCATGTCGAGTACACCGACTTGGTGCGGCCGGTCACGGACACGGACCGGATGCGGCCCTGCAGCCATTCATCCGAGGAGAGCAAGCGCTGCACCTTGTCTTGCGACGACGCGATGACGTCCTCGTACTGCGGCGCCATCCGCTCAATGTACTCCTGCACCTCCAAGAACTCGGCGGGGAATAGGTACTTGAAGGACAGGTCAGAGAGCTCCGTCTTGAACGCCCACAGGCCCAGCCGGTGCGCGAGCGGCGCGAAGATCTGCAGCGTCTCGCGCGCGGTGGCCGCCCGCTTGTGGGGCGGCATGTGCTGCAGCGTGCGCATGTTGTGCAGCCGGTCCGCCAGCTTGACAACCACGATGCGCCAGTCCTCGGCCATCGCTATGAACATGGAGCGCAGGTTCTCCGCCTGCTCGTCGGTGTCCGAGACGAGCGTCTCCACCGCCTGCGCCTGCGCCGGCTCGACGCCGCCAGTCACGCCGCCGCCGCCGCCGCCGCCGCCGAACAGTGCGCCGGCCGCAGCGTGGCCCTCGGCCTCGTCCGAGGAGCGGACCATCTTCGGCAGCTTGGAGACCTTGGTCTCGCCCTCGACAATCTTGCGCACCGTCGCGCCGAAGAGCGCCTCGATGGCCGCAAAGTCGAGCTCGGTGTCCTCGACCGTGTCGTGCAGCAGTCCGGCGATGAGCGACTCCTTGTCCATCGAGGTGCGCGCGAGGATCGCAGACACCTCGACCGGGTGGGTGATGTAGGGCTCGCCGCTGCGGCGCTGCTGGCCGTAGTGCGCCAGGAAGGCGGTCTCCAGCGCGAGCCGCAGCTGCTGCTGCGCCGACGGGCGCAGGTACGCCGTGAGGCTGCCGAGGTGCCGGTCCAGCTCGCCGAGCAGCTTCAGCGCGGACGGTGCGCCCGACAGCCGGTCGAGCTGCGAGGAGAGGCAGGGAGCGACCGAGCAGATTTGGTCCGCCCACTCGAAGTAGCTCGCGCCGTCGGCGTATGGCGGCGACCACTCGGAACTGGGCGGAGTGTGGCTCTGCCCGAGCGGGGTGGCGCAGCGGACGCCGCCGCCGCGCACCTGGCCGCGCGCCAGACTGCGGAGCGGCGCCTCGCCGCCGCCGACGACGACGCCGCCTCCTCGCCGCCAGCCAGACAATAAGGCGTGGGCGAGCGGCAGCCACGGAAGCCACAGCAGGAAGCTGATCGGCAAAGGGCGCCGCATCGAGTCGGGGTTTTCACGCCGGAGCTTAGCTTGAATGTTTTAGACAAAGCAAGGCATGCCCCGAGTTCATTTTATATCAAGGCAGACATGGCATATCGCTCTCGGTGAACAAACGACTCGGGCCTTTCACTCCCTTTGCTGCCACTCATAAAATCGTTGCTTCAGTTCACGAAGCCGTGGGCCGACCCTCCGATTTTATGAGAAGAGAACAAAGGGAGTGCGGGCCTTTTCATAAAAGTGAAAGAAGAAACACGACTAAATGTAGAGGAATCACTGCGCTGCGACCGACGCCATGCTACTCCTACTCGCCTGCAGCCGCGCTCGGCCGCCGCTCGCGCCCGCCGCCTCGCCGCTGCGAGCCTCCGCACCGCAGATGGTATTCGGGCCGAAGCTTCCGCCAGAGGTTGCCGTCGTGCTCCGGCCTGCTTACGAAGGCGCCGCACGTGGTGGCGAGCCTTTCGTGGTCGGCACGGAGGCAGAACTCCGTGCAATCTGGTCGGCGATGCTCAAGGTCTACGGCAACGAGGCGGACGCTCGGCTCGCTGTGGCGCGCAACCAGCAGGTCATACTCCCCTACATAAACTCGCCCGCGGTTATCACTGGCGCTCATCGGGCGCTGCTCCAAAAGTTCGGGGCCGAGGACGCGGCCAAAATCATCCGGCAGAACCCGGGCATCCTCGCTTGTGACCCCGCGGCGCTGGCCGCGACACCGAGCCGTGACATCGAGAGCGCCGCCAGCTTCGTCGCCGCCTTTGACTCGCTGCCTCGCGGCGCGCGAGAAGGTGTCCCCTTTGCCACCTTTGCGCTCCTCGCTGGCACCATCGGGGCGCGCCTCGCGACGTGCGCCGGCCGGGTGTGCGGCAGCTCGGCCGATTGGGACCTGAAGGGCGGGCTGGGCGTGCAGGCTAAGGCCTGGGTTCTCGCGCACATGCCGATGTAGTGGCACTAGCCTAAATAAATAAACAAAGAGCTGGACAAATACCAAATTCCAAATCGCAAACATAGAAACCCAAACACAGGCGGCGACGTGGCATACGAGCTCATAGGAGAAGGAGGCGCACAACTTCCAAGGACACACGAGCGAGAAGCACGCACACAGCCATGACGATGATGATTGAGCGCGTGAACACCAACTCCCCGGCACAGGCCGTGAAGAGCCGCGCACGCGGGCCGACGATTACGCAGCTGCGTGCCAAGCAGGCCGCTCTTGTGGCCGCAGCTGAGCTCGCAGCTTCGAGTAACGCCGAGGCGAGTGTGGTAAGGCACTCGCCCGTCGACGAAGCCAAGCGGTGGGCAAGCGGCAAAGGCCGCAAAGTGGGCTTCTCAAAAGCACGTGCCACCTTCCGTGGCGGCGGCACGGGAATCGCGGCGACGGCCGCGAAGCACGACTCACTCATCAAGAAGGCCCGCTGGCGCGGCACCGAACAAATTGCCCGGGAGACTCCGGCGGGCTCTGTGTCCGTAGTGACGATGCCGCACCGCAAGGACTTCGCCTCCGACAAGGAGCACCAAGTGAAGTTTAACCTGTGGCTGAAGGCGGACGGCTTCAAAAATAAAAACGGACACCAATAAATAAATCGGACACCTCTACTAGGAGATGGGTAAAAAGGAACAGGTCCCCGCCCTGCGGTCTTTGTGCAGGGTTCTTTGTGGGTGTGGTCGGCGACTAGCCGGGGTCGTCCTAATAAATAAATACAACGGACATCCCAAGCTAGGGCTGGGTCGAGGACAGACACGTCCCCACCTTTGCAGGATTTTGCAAAAGTGTGAGTACACACACTCACCCACGCATCCGCACTGCTCCAGGAACGGTCCATCCAGGATGGAAGGGTCTAGGAACGGACCACGCTCGAAGCACCACCGCCAGGTGCTTGTCGAGCTCGGCTAGATCTCGCTCGTTCTCGGCTAAATCTCGCTCGTTCTTTTTTTTGGAAAACTGTACCCCATGTCCCCCAATGTACCCCACATTCCGCTGACGGCCTTCTATCCAAGGAAGCCCTCCACTATAAGCTCGTCCGCTCGAGCGGGCTGCCACACATCCTGAGTGGGCGTACACATCACTCAGGCCACGTCCCCCCTGTCGCCCCCCCCAGCACTCCAAGGTGCCAAGAGACAAACAACAGCACAACAACACAGACAGGCGACAGGGGCGAACGTGTGAGACTAGAGCAGGCTTGCTCCGCCTCTAGCAATCTCGTCGCCGGCCGCAAGGCACGGACGAGACCGTGTGTGGGGTCTTGTGAGGTGTCTATGGACGCCCTCCTCACAGGCTATTGGCCAGCCGCTAGCCCTAACTCGCACTCATGGGTGACGACAGTTCATTGGATGAGTGGTTGCGAGCAGAGGCGCGTGTGCTGAATCTAGATCGCACGCCGTGGCATATGACTTGGGTAGGCGTGCGACCGCAGCGCGCCCGCCGAAGGCTCGACCGGGCGCGCGTGTCAGCCAGAACTTTGCCAGTAGAGCGATCCTGGTCTTTCCGAAGACGAGCCCCGCGCCACAGGTGCCAGCCGTGCCTCCGCGGGAGCCGCCTCTCGAGCCGCGTCCCGCCGGCACTGTCCCTGAGTGCGTCCCGCCTTGGTTGGCGACACGCACTCGACAAGGGCAGTCCAGCCGACGGGAACGTGTCGCGCGCCGGCGACAAATAGAATGTTGGGCACGAGCGACCATGAGAATGTTGATTGCGTTTCGTTCGGCTTGCCTTCGACTGGCCCAACATCCTCATGCACCCTTTGCTCTTCTGTGCGCTTCCGCTCACCTTTGCGGTGCAACACGTGGTGTGCGCGTTCATTCTTTCACCGCCAGTCCCTTCGCGAGTCTGCCTTTGCGCTGGAGGCGAGGTTCCACCGCAGCGCTGCGCCTCGACGTGCTCACGCCGCTTGCCGTCAGATGGAGCTTGCGGGCGGCCAGGGTGGAATGCTTGGAATCAGCGCGGGCAGGCTGGTGATGTTGAAGACGCGCACCCAGGGAGGGACGGGGGCGAGGCGAACTGCGTCGGATCGCGCACTGGCTGGTGGTGGAGACGCCCACCCCCGACGCTGGCTCTCGTCTGCTTGCTCGCCGCCTGCCTAGTCATCAGCCTCGCCATACGCGCGGAGGACAGGGAGGCGTTCAATGGGCACGCGGCTGAGGCGCTCTGGACCGCATTCATTCAGGTCCAGGTCGTCGTACAAGGGCAAACGCACCTCTTCGATGTCAGCGCTCAGACAAGCGGTCTCGAGCTGAGACGCTTGTGTGCAAAACGCTCCTCGATCCCCGCTGGTGCGCTTGGCGGCCTCTACCATCAGTCGCGGCTATTGGAAGACGACGCCCCGCTGGCATCCTACGGTGTGCGCGCAGGAAGCACCATCGAAGTCAAAGCACGGTTGCGCGGCGGCGCGCCCGGCCCACCGGCCACCTCCCGGTACGCCTCCCCGAACCGGGCGGAAGAGGGTCACTTCCTCCACACCTTTCCGGTCGACGTCTTGCCGACCATCATTGACCCCGTCACCCAAGTGCCGATTCTGGACTCAATCTCAATTTCCATCCGACATGCCATTGCGGGACGCCCCGCGCATTACCCTGGCGGATATCGCGCATTCTGGTCTCACCATCTACAGCAGCAGGGGCTGCGGCAGCAGCAGGCTCAGGCGCAGGCGCAGGCGCAGGCTACACTTGTGGCGGAGCGGGAGCACGAACGCCACCGCCTTGCGTTGGACATCAGTGCCACTGAGCGCGCGGCCTTGATCCGGGCGCGGCTGGCAGCCCGCCACTCGCCCGAACACAAGCTCCCTCTGGCAAAAGACCCGGCAGGCACCGCCCTGCCTGAGGACTCCGGCCCGCCAGCGGAGGAGCACGTCGCTCCTCCTCGTGCACCCCCACAACCGAGCATCGTCCTCGGCGCCAACGACGGGAGGATGTACTCTGAGGAGCTCCGCATCGCGCATGAGATTGCCCGCACCCGCTGCCGGCTGCGCGACGCGGGGCTCTGACGCACCGAACCCGCGCTGTGGACGGGGCGGTGGGACGCAATCGTTCGGGTGTGCGGGGTGCCATGGCCCAAGGCATGGCACTGCACCGCTTCGTCCCCTCCCACCGCAGAGCCATTGTACAGAGGGAGGCATATTGTATAGCCATTGTATAGAGGGGTGGGAGAAGGACTCCCTTGTCTAGTGTTGTGAGATAGTTGCCGAAAAATTCTCGAGCTGGTCAAAATTCTTCTTTTACAAACGCACATGAGCCTGTACTCCAGCGCCTGCATACTACGAGTAGCTAACAACATCCGATGGACCCTGTGGCCGTCATGGAGTCTTCCTTCGCGCCCTTCGACGCGCGCCTCCAGCCTGGGCGCATGGACCCCGTGCCGGTCTTCGCCGTCGATCTGGATCAGACAGATCTGGCCGCGCGCTGGGCGTGGGTCAGAGATTACGCTCATCACTTTCACGCGGCCCGCCAGCTGATCCTTGGAGAGGTGGGCGTGAACGCAGATGCTCCGACACCCCTCTGGGTGCAGGTCGGGGCGCGCGCCATTTTATCGGCCACCCCAGCAGCGCTTCGTCCTGAGCTCGAGGCGTGCGCCGCTGTGTGCGGCGTGCCTGCTGGTGAGCTCGCGCTGCTCAATTATCTCTACGAGCTGAAGGCCAAGTGCAGCTCGTTCGTTGTGGCACAGCGTGGATCCGGGCGGCCGCTGCACGCGCGCACCCTCGATTGGCCGGGATGTGCGGTCCTCTGCGAGTGCACCGTGCGCCTGCGCTTTTTGCGTGGTGGGCGGCTGCTGTACGAGTCTCTCACCTGGCCGGGCTACCTTGGAGTCCTCACCGCATGCGTGCCGGGGAGGTTCTCCGTGTCCGTCAACTTCCGTGGGGACGAACGCGCGGAGCTTCCGTGGGAGCTGCCCGGCAACGGCGCGGTCCATACGGTCGTGTCGGAGGTGCTTCGCCGCGGGGTCGCCATGCTCGGTTCGCTCACTGGCAGGTGCCGCAGCGTGGGGTTTTCTGTGCGACAGATGATCGAGCAGGAGCCACCGGTCGACTTTGAAGGCGCGCTTTCGCAGCTCAGCAGCGTCCAGCTGCTCGCTCCCGTCTACTTCACTCTCGCAGGCCCTGAGCGTGGCGAGGGCGCCATCCTCGTCCGTGGGCCAGCTCCCATCCCTTTGCCGACCTCGGAGGGCGAGGCATGGCGGATCCGCAGGCTGGACGACCCCGCGTACACGCGCAATGGCCTGCTCTACCAGGCCAACTCGGACACCGCAGTGAGCGCCGGCGACGACGAGCTTCTCGCGCTGCAAGAGGAGGAGGGCCAGGGAGGGCTGGTCTCGTGGGATCGCATTCGCGTCGCGCAGGCCTTGGCGGATCGATATGGGCCGCAGTACAGCCTCGCGGACGTGATTGACATGGTGACAGCGCAGGCAGGGGAGCTCCAGCCACAGGCGAAGCGGCTGGAGGTGAAGGTTGCCGAGATGAGCGGCATCGCTAACACGCTCACCATCTTCTCCTGCGTCCTCGACCCGAGCGCACCATCCGGTGACGCGCTCGCCATCCGTTGCGCGCGCCACTCGTTGTTTGAGAGCGTCGAGTACGAGGACGGCAGCAAGGGCGAAGAGATCGTGCTGCCGAAGCGGAAGGCCGGCAACGGATGGCGCGACGCCCCGTGCTTTCAATCGGGTGGTGCGAGTGAGGGGGGAGGAATGAGAAAACGCAAGTCTGCTGCTGTCGGTAGTAAGCAGAGAGGCAAGAGGAAGAAGGGCTAGGGGATCACCGGTTTGGCCGCGCCAGAGTTGGGGCGCCGACGCCGGATCTTGATTGACGGCGGCATACTGTAGAGCTGGGGTACGGCTATGCCGCCGCCATGGTCGCGGTGCAAAAGGAGCACGCGCCGCCGGGGATGGGAGGGATGGATCGCAGCTGAATTGGCGCCCCCGCTTCAACCTTCATTCAGCCTTGAGGCCGCTTGTCCCGGAGTGTGCGGAGAAGGGTGGGCCGGTACGCGGTCTGCCAGCTAACTGAAAACGCATTTGCGACGTGATGCGTGTGTTGTGATTTTTTGTATTTTGAGAGTCTGTGGCACAACCGCGGGGTCACCGCGCGCACACCGCTCAAGCCTCAACCGGGATCACGCACTCGCGCACAGGCTGGCACACGCTTCACGGTCATATGAAATATGGTTTTCACCGGGTCCGGGGACCGGGGAGGACACGCGGTCTCGCGAGAGACTAGACGACGACGAGCTAGCCCCTAGCGAGGTGTAGACGGTCCACGACCTCTCAGCACCGCACCCAACCACCCTCCGCTCAGGACTCTCGGCACACGCCTCGCATCTTGCGGACGGACGCGTTGCGCAGCGGTGACCAGCGGTTCCGTTTTGACTCGTCGGACCCGCCATCATGCCCGCCATACAAGCATCACCCGATCACATGCTCCTAATGTGACTATGTGCATGAGAATCGAAGTTTACGGTGAGAGCAAAGAGCGGGAGTTCCTCCCATGCACGTGGTCCCTCTACGGCGACGCGTTCCCGCTTGGGCTGTCCGCCGCCGGCTTCAGGGCGGACTGGGTACTGGTGTGGGCGACCCCACACCCGGGCTCGGGTCTGACCAGGGCCCACATCCAATATGTGGGTCGAGACACCCCGAACAACGAGCCGGGATGGGGGGCGGGCTTCTGTGGCGTGACATGCCGCGGAGAGCAGGACCTGCAACCAGGCCGCTCGGGGAAGGTTGACCGGCTTGTCACCCGAAGCGCCAGCGGCTGGACCACCTGCCTGGACCTTGAGAACGGTGTGATGGCTATCCCGGCGAAGGGGGGGCCCGGAGCGAGGGAGGTGTGCGTCGATGGGAGAGAGGTCGACATCTCGATGCCCCCGGAAGAATGGCGGGATCCCCTCGAGTTTGTGGTGCGGAAGACCGTTCGGGTGGCTCGACAGCTCACGACGATGCAACCCCGTAAGCGACGGGCGGTTGGGGCGCGGTTGCGGAAATGGGCGGGGACGTCGGTCGATGAGATACTCGAGGCGACCATGTCCGTGGCGCGAGAGCGACCCCACGAGCAGGCTCGCGGCGCCGGAGCAGCGATGGGCCGGGAGAGGGTGACGAGGAGAACGACGGAGGCCCCGGCGCCGCGGACGGAAGACGCCGTCTCTACCCTCCTATCGGCGGCGGCGTTTGCGGTGGCGAGACACCTACAGACACTCGGGGGGGGGGAGGGGGCGACCAGCCTCGAGATAGACTGCCCGAGGGCGCCGACCGTCTGCCCGTGCGTCAACGGTGGCCGGGCCCTGCCCCCCCCCCTCCCCGAGGGGAGACGAGAGCTAGGCCCCCCCCCACGAGCGGGGTGGACGGCCGACGCGTGGAACCACGGCTGGAACGGCCGCGGGGGCAAGGGGCCGCCCCCGAAGCCCCGCTCGTGGAGTTGGGGCGGCTGGCTCCGCCACCAGGTCCACCCCCACCACCACCGCCTCCGCCCCCGCCGCTGGAGCAACCGCTGGGTCGAGGGGCCAGCTCTGAGGCCCCATACCAGGCGGTGTGGCCGCCAGTGCCGCCACTGTTTCCGCCACCCACGCTGCCATTTCCGCCCCCGCCGCTGGAACGGCTGCAGGATCGTGGGGCCGCCCCAGCGGCTCCACACCAGGCGCGTTGGCCGCGAGGGCCGCCACCGTGCCCGCCACCCCCGCCTCCGCCTCCACCCCCGCCGCCGGCGGAGCCGCCACCGTGTGGCCCCACTCGGAATAATCAGAGGGATCCGGAGCCGCCCCACCGGAGGCTGGAGTACCCGAGAGGTGGAGCTGGGGGAGGGGAGTCGCCGCAATACGATAACGGACCCGCCGGCGAACCGGAGGGCCGTGGCCGGAGGGCCCCGGGGGGGGCTTGGGGTCAACTCTCGGAGGAGGTGAGAGTCGAGCTGACTCGGCCTCTGCGAGTGGAACCGGGCCGTGTGAGCCCACCAGGGGTAGACCCGTCGCGGCGTTGGATAGACCGCCGTGACTTACGACAAAAGGGACCGCGCCTTCCCGAGTTTAGTGAGGAGCAGGAGGAAGGGGAGGGCGAGCCGAGGACGATAGAGAGGCCACGGGTGCGGGCGCGACTCGCTGACCGGGGAGAGCCGGCCCGACCTCCCGGAGAGGAGTGGCGACGAGTGATGCCGCCGCCCTCACCCGGGGAGTCGGGCGTGGGATCGCCGGAGGCGGAGTCAACAGGATCAGGCAGAGAAGACGAGACGGCGGCGGGGCCGCAGCCGAAAAAGGCTAGGAGGGGAGGTCGGGCCCCGCGCCCGTCGCACAACTATCGGGATGCGGCCAGGAGGAAGGACCGAGAGGTGGGGGAAGACGCCCCGGAGTGAAAGTTGGGAGACCTCGAAGAGGGGCCCGGTGTGGTGAGGTGCCGGGTGTGGATGGGCGTCGAGTCCGTGTCGAGTGTTTACTAGCTCCGAGTAGAGGGGGCGTTCTGCTGCTAGGGGAAACCTGGAGCGCGGAGCTAACCCTCGGAGACCCGTGTTTACTTTAAGGCCCTTGCCCTGCGAATGCGCACCCCCCCTAGCTAGGGGTCAGGGCTCTCTAGCCCGTAGCCCGATGCCGATCATCCGGCTCGCTGGGTGCGCTTCTCAGCTCCCCGGCCCTGGATGTGAGGTTAATGACTGCACTCCAAGTGCTCCAAGTGCTCTACTGTGAGATGGGTAAAAAGGAACAGGTCCCCGCCCTTGCGATGTTTGTGCAGGGTTCTTTGTGGGTGTGGTCGGCGACTAGCCGGGGTCGTCCTCCCGATGTCCTCCCGATGTAGGGGGGGGGGGGGGGGGGGCGGTGCGTCCATTGAGGAGAATGACGAGTTCGAGGGGCGAGGTCCGTCGAACCGTCCCTTGGGATGCGCAAAGGTAATTTTCGGAGCTCCGGCGGGCTCTCTCTCGAGGTTGGCGTGTCCGTTTTCTTTATTTATTTATCTCGAGGTCTCGAGAATAAAACCACAGGCAAACGCGTTTTTTTGTTGTCGCTTGGTCTGTGATCTCTCAATATGTTCAAATAATGGACCTTGCCCATCGCCTTCCCGCCAAAAGCACCCGAGACGCCGTCGGAGAGGCCGACGACGATGTCGTCAGCAGGCACCGGAAAAAGAATTTTACAACGCGCGGAAAAAAATTCAAGGCGACCTCTCGCACAGCACACAGGTTGAGAAACTGCGAAGAGAGATAGGTCATAGGAAGTGGTAGACGCCCGAGGGTGGGCGACGGCTAGCACCACACTTCTCCCCTTAAAATCCCTGTGGTGGCGCGTGGCGCGGCGTGCTGTCCTCCGCCATCCCTGCCCTGTGTTTTCTTTTTCGGCGTTAGTGCCAGTGCGCGCCAGTCCCGTGCCCAGTGTTGTGCGAGGGAGTTTTTTAAGATTCTTTTTCGTGCTTTAAAGGCCCACTCCACGCCCCCTTTCGCCTTTGAGCAAGTGTCGACACTTGGCCGCCGCTGCCTCCTGAGCACCCCCACGCCGGTTGTGGCTGCTCTCCGCCCACCAGCCGGCCACAGGCCGCCACCCTCGCCGGCCGGCGTCGAGAGAACGGCCAGACTCGACCGACCGGGTGTCGCGCCGCTGCCTGCTTCTCGCGCCGCTGTAGCAGCGCCAGCGGCTCGGCCGCGCATCCTTCACACACGCTGCCACAACCAAGCTGAGCGAGCCCAGTGTCGAGGTCTGGTGCGAGCTGCATGCGAGGGGCGGCTTTGGCCACAGCAGGTCCACCAGACGGACCTCAAAGCTTGCCGTCGGCGTGCTGTCGTGGCGAGAGCGCGAGACCGCTGCAGAGGAGCCGAGTGCAGTGGCGAGCCAGAGGCTACCAGGGTCACCAAGTGGTAGCCCTTGCCCATTCTGATCAGGGCTGTGCTTTGGTGGGGTTGTGTTTGAGCATGTGTGAAGTGGGAGTGCGTGCCGGCGGCGTGTCTGTGGGTGAAACGGGCGTGAGTGAGGCCGTAAGAGCCGTGGTATGAGCCAGAGTGGGCTTCATCACCCAAAATAAGGACGGTTTGGGACAGCTCAGACTTGGTACTGATGAGCCTGGGCCAGGAGGGCGACAGAGAAGGCGAGGTGGTGAGCTGGGAAGCCGCTTCATCGGCACCTGGACGTGTCGCGATGAACTGCCGAAAAGTACTATTTGCGGCTATTGCTCAAAACTTCGGGAGACAAGGCCTACATATTATGACTGAATCCTTGCGCCTGGTGCATGAGGGCTGCGGGTCGGGACATTTCACGGTCGGTGGCGCCGGTGTTGGCCTCCGGAAAGCCCTCGCAATCGCCTCGGATGGGGTCCACCGGAGACAATCTCGAGCCCTCTCCGTGACATCACGAGCCGGTGTGACCTTCTAAACCCAGGTAAGTTGCGGACTGGTTTGATTTACCCTTCCTTCTGTTTGGCCTGTCTCTCGCCTGAATACGTAAATCTTCAGACTGCTATCTCATCTTTCTATTAAATTCCTCCCTTCTTCCCCCTTGCCTGTTCCTTACATTACTTTCCCACTTTAACCACATTACGTTATTTGTCCCATGGCACGTTTGCCAACTATTCTTGGTTGTCTTCTCCTCTCTTATTTTTACTATCACTCTCGTATGTATTTCTTGTTTG